AGTTCTCATTGGAAGAGTCTGATGACTGTCTTGGCTGTTTCCTCCCCTTTTAGTTTGGGACTGGTTCATTTTCAACCAAATCATCAATAAAGTTAAATCCAAATACAGTAAAAGGAGTCAGAATTCTTAATTTTTATAATTATTCTAAAACAGACTCTATGATTTATATCAAACTACACTTTTTTGAAATGGTGACAACTTTTCTCTTTTTCACTCCACAAAATCCTCTATTTTATTGTGCATTTCAAGCATATTCCCCAAAGTAATACAAACAAAGTAGTTCCTCATAGGCAGGATATTTCAGCTTCTTCCCTAACTGAAATGATGTCATTTCAAGCAAAAGAGTAACACAAGGATATTCTATTATACAATAATAGAAGGAATGCTGATAAATCTTTACAGATGCAAGATAGTCAGGGAAATATTTAAATAGCGCCATTCTATTTTCTTCTGAATTACATTTACAAAATACTTCAGCTATTAATTAGAGACCTATAGAGACAACGGAAATGAAGCATTCATATTACAACTCAAATCCTGAGTGTTTCAATATTCTATTTAAAAGCCTAGTGATAATAACCAAACTTCTGAATTAACAGTTTCCAGTTACTTGTGGTTTCACATGCAGTATCAGTGATTTAATACGAGTAAAAATAACTCCTGGCCAGTGAAAAAGTCAAAGTAGAGAGTTAGGAGTGAAAGAATTCTTTTTTTCAGGTAATCTATTTCTCTGAGCTCCCCATCACATCACTCTGAATCACAAGATGAAGACCACACACCTCAAACGATGACAACAGATATCTGAAGACAGGACAGAAGCGGGCAGGATGTGTAGATGACTTCCAGGGCAACTCACTAGAGCGAGAGTGGCAGTCCCTGCCAGCTGGCTGGCTCCCACAGCCCGAGACTGGGCAAACCAGTAAACACTGGACCAGCAGAGCCCTTACACCGCTCACACCACGTGGCACGAGGGTGACAGTGACACAAACGAGCCAGTCTGTAGTTAAAGAACCACAAACCAACTACGCCTGGTGTATTTTATTACCAATCCCAACAGATCTGTATTTTTAAACCAAGCATGCTTACAAATTTCTTATCCAAAACACTGAAAAAAAAAAAAATAATGTAATTCATATCAAAACAACTTCTCACATGTCCACAGAAAGTTCCATAACCATGAACAAACATCAATGCATCTTACCTCAATCATTATATGAAAGGCGTGCTTGTAGAGAGGGGAAAAAACATAAGCAAAAGAAATTACTATTTATACCAAGAAAGGGATGAAAAAACAGCTTACAAGAGAAGAGACAAAATAAATTGTTTGTGAATTAACAAGTAAAATACTCATGGGGAAAGCAATATTTTCTGGTACTAAGAACAGATCATTTAAAATAGAAAAGTCCATCACTGATAGGCTAGCAAAGAGAAAGAAGCAAAAATAAAGATTATTATACAGAGCATCACCTGAATTGATCTGAATTGTCCATTAGAGGTGTATAAACAGTCATGTTACTATAAAACAGGATATAAACACATGCAGGGAATTAAGACACGAACACAAGTTATGCAAACTCATTTCTTGTGATGCTCACAGCTGTTCAGTAGAGGGCACTGTTGTATTTCTTAAAATTCACTGTAATTAGTGGCTAGCTGTGGAAAATGACGACTTTTGAATGGCTTAAATTCTAACTAAACCTCATCAACAAATAGGTCATCATAGATATAAGTCTATATTATGAAATTTAATCAATAAATCTGGCGTGCCAGAAGAGCAACTAGAAGCAGTGAACTTGAAAACACGATATCCAGCACATATAAAGGGAGATTACAATATCCAAGTTTCTTTCAAACAAGTCACATGAGTTTACAGACTGTGGAATGAAATCCTCTATAAAAACCAAACTCCAAAGCACTGTTACTGACACTTAAAACACATTTTAGTGACACACGCTTGTTTGTGCTACTTTCACCTCTTTTTGGTTGAACACTCTCATTGCCACTCAAGCAGAGAAGCCCTGAGACACCTTCGTTCCTCCTCCTGTACTTTTGCCTCAGCCATTTTCTTTATAATTTGACCAGATAGATGTTGCAAGGGCATGAAATTCAAACTCTTGAAGTATTCAGCTGCCAGGTAACAGCAATCATCCTGTTCTTCACCCTTTGTCTTTATGTTCTTAGGATGCTACAGGGTGTAGGGCCAACAAGAGGCTTTTCCTCTGCACTTAAAAACTGTCTAGTAGACACTTAGCATTATCTAAATAATTAATAATAGAAGAGCTGAAGTATTTCTTGAAGGCTAGATTAGTTGGGAGTCAGATTTATAAATACTCTAGGAGAGTTGGCTGCCACGGACAGAGCACTAAAGAACACTGGAGCCCAACAGGATCACTCCTCCTCCTCCTCCTCCTCCTCCTCTCGCCATGGGTCAGCAGACCAGCAGAGATGAGGAAAATGCCCATCCCAAGAGTCTGAAGCAGATTCTTGCAGGACCTGTAGAGCCTGCAAATATTTTGGGGCACATCATAACAGAAAAAAACCTCAAAACAACAAAAAACAAACCAAAACCACACTAAACAAAAAACCCCAAACCCTTAAACTGGTTTTCAGAGTAGCTGATAATCTTATTCACATCTCTGTGAGCTGGTGGTTCCAGCAGCATGACAGCTCTTCCACGGATACTTAGATAAACTACAAGTAAGATCCTGCAGCACTAAGTCCACAAACCATGAGCACAGTTACTGAAAGAAGTTCCTCCTCCAAGCTCCCCATATTCCTCTGCTTGAAACAGCAGCCAAGCAAAATAAAAGTATTACTCAATCTGATAAGAAATGGCTACTAAGCAGAGGAATAGAAATACCCGTGTTCTCATATTTCTACTAACTCAAATAGTCAAAGAATAGACAATAACTGTTAAAAACATTAAAAAGCATTGCTTGGATGAAATAGTTATTCAACAAACGTCTTTCCTGTGGCTTTAAAAAAAAAAAAGTAATTTTTTTCAGGCCTATTTTCTAATAAAATTCTCCAGCTCCTGAGAATTGTTTAAATTCCTCAGAAATAAGGAAAAAGATACAGGAATTCAACCTTGTTGCTCTTATCGTAATGAGAAACTGCAAACAAAAATCTGAGGAAGAAGAGTCGGACAAAGTGCCTCTCACTGCTCTCTTCAGGGGATCAGTTTCCCCCAAACACTAATAAATTAGACATGCATGAGAATTTTCAAAGAGAGATTTATGCACATCATAGACCTTCTGATTTTAAATCACTGTCCTTCCCTTCAGACTCCAAACTACCACCTCAGCCTTTTCATTAGGAATGCAAAGGATCACCAGTTTAAGCAGTATCAGGCCAGTACAGAAATGCAGATATGTGCTTTCTCATTTCAGGAATGAATAAAACTCTGATAAATAAAAATTGTGAGCAATTAAATCCCACTCCCCCCCAAAATAGCTATGATGTACACACACTTGTATATATCAACACATAACTTCCTATTTATATTATATTTATATTCCTAATTAGGAAATATTAGTATATTTCCTAACTGCCTGAAAATGAATTTTAAAGGTTTTATCAGGGATTAGGGAAATGATTGAGATATTTGTAACCAATTCAACCAAAAAAACCAAAGCAGTGTGGTCTCTCCCAACATTTGGCCTATCCACAGCTATATTTTGAACTTCAAACATGTCAACAAAAATCATTAGAAACATGGTGTCCAAAATTAATTGCATGGATTCCTTCATTTGTTCCTAACTAGTACCACACATACGGCATCACCCACAGTCCCTCAACCCCTTCAGAGAACGTCAGGTAAAACGAGTTATTTTTGTCAATCACTGCCTTGTGAAATGTGTAATTCTCATCCATCTAGTGATATAAAAGATTATGGAAAGCAGAGAGGTTATAAGACAATACTTTGCTTGAATCAATGCAAAAGCACAAAGTAGCTCAAAGTTCACTACAGAAATAAATCTGAAACTTTCTTTTTTCTTTTAAATTTTAATTGTACTTTAATTATAAAGTTCCCTTCAGGCTGCCATTCAGGATTTGATACCTTAAGTTTGGATTTATATTCTCTTACCTCTTGAAGATTTAAAACAAAACAAAACACAGCTGCATTTATGGTTTATTTAAATGGAGGTAGCTCATTCCGAAAGTAAACTGAGACTTCAGGGAAGTACTTTAAAAAATAATAAAAAGCTAACTTGTGGGCATGTGATTGTATAGTGAGCATTGGAAAAGAATGCATCACTATGTACTTGGTTTTCAATTATTTGTCATACAAATTCTTCCCTCTGTTAAAGGTTTTAAGGAACTACTTGTATTATAAAAGCCCATGAATTTAAAAAAAAAAAGACAAAGTTACAAGCTATTTACTTACTGCACATTAAAGACTCCTTATCTATAAAAATTTTCCTACTGCATTCTCACAGTATCCCTATTTTTTCTTTTTTTTTTTTTTTTCCTTTAAACAACTGTATCATGGCTCACTCACAGTACCACAACCAAAGGACAGCACCAGATCTTCCTCCCGTGTCACTCCAGCTACTGACTGGAAGCAATTACAGAATAAATGCTTATTAGCCCTGAAGATCTGAAACGCAGCGTTGGAGAATGTGAAATTATGCACACATCTAGCAGTCCAAATTTTGAGATCCTTCAGCTATTCCTTTCTAACACCAACACTGCCACTCATGACATGATGTTAACCATTCATTAACCACTGGTATGTACCCAACCTTAACTCCTTCTTAGCTAGTCCCAACCGCTAACTCACTCTTTATCTATTTTTAGTTGGGTTTTGGGTTTTTTTTAAAATTCTTCCTCTTTCTAAGCTCCAGCTTTTCTTTGTTGATCAGCCTCTTCTCCCATTTCATACAAGCACCTGCCTTCAACTCTCTATATTTTTCAAGTAGCTAATAATCTTCCTAGGTTTGGAATAAGTCCTTGGAAAAATACCTTTCTCATTCTCACTCTTCATTTTTCAGGCGTTACGATGTTTCTATTAAAATATGTTTAACAAGAAGCAAAAAAAACAAAAAAGGGGCTGGAAGAGAAAAATGGGAACAACCTGAACATTTTATTTAATTTCTTCATTCTTCTTCAGCAGCCAACCATAATTTTCCTAGCGTGGCAAAGGGATAAAGACTACCCCAGAAATTTTAAATGCCCCGAGGAGATTATTTGATGTGATAAAAGTTAACTTAGAAAATAAAAACAATAAATGAAAATATTTTCTAATGCCAACCATAACATTTTTCCCATTACTAACTACTTTTTGAAAACAAACCATTTGAGTTACACACACACATACGCTCACCAAACTCCTTGGCACAGGTCTGATGGACTAGACCAGATGTCTGAGGTCAAAAACTGCAGCAAAGAGCAGTGTTTGTTTTGTTTTATGTCCTTTTCCTATTAGTTTCCAACACAGAATTTGTTGTTCCACTGCTACCCATGCAGCTGGACCTGCGGTCAGCAGTTCAGAATATGTCTTCAATCTGCCACTGCTACAGATTTTTCTTCTTCATCATTATTCACCCCACATTACGTGATACTGATTTCAATTCTAATTTCTTACAGACAAAACTGAAATATCAAATCTATGACATAGCTACAAACATCTACTCATACCTGGGTAGATGCAGGAAAAGATACACTGAAGAAAGACTATCATGGTATGGTAGTGAAGGGAGCCACACCAAAATGGCCAACAACCAAAATCAGAGTGGTTTTGATGTATAATAAACTTCTGAGACCAGAGAGATGATCTGATCAGTATCTATATTTATATATGTGCTTCAATTATTCTTAATTCTTGGTTCACATAGCACACGCCTTTGAAGACATGGGATGCTCTCTATACATAAAGGGCCAGTGAGGTTCATCCATATGAGACAAAATAAACCCCCAAAATGATAAACATAAAAGATTATTGTGCTCAATACAGGGAACACGGGGTGAAAAGCTTAAAGGAAGTGATATATAAGATGTTAAAAGGAGAAGATGGAGTCATATTTTTCATCTATATAATCCTCCTCTCTGAAAAGAAAAAGAAATGGTAGCTCCTAGCAGCTAAGCCTGCTTTTATGGCCACTTTAATAGATGGGATCTGTCCATTGCAAATTTTTAAATTTCTGGTCACACCAAACAGGCCTAGACGAGGCCTTTCTTGTGCTTAGTGATTAAAAAAAAATGAAACATCTTTGACCCAAGTAAAGTTCAAACATTTCAGAAGAAAGCACAAAAATAGGTTATGAAGAAAAATGACACTATGTGAATCTGTAAAGCTTTTTTTTCCCCAACCCTCTCAACATATGACTCTTATTTTAAAACCAAAACAAAAAAAGCAACTCTGTGATCCAGTAAGATATTCATAACTCGGGCACTCAACAAGAAGTACAAGAGGTTAACCTCTCTTTGCACATTCTGGATGTAAAAACGTTGGGAGCCACAGCTCTGTGAACTGATAAAAAACCAAAAGTGTTACTTGTGTCAGTTATGCTATAAAATAGGTTATGGTCCCATCTATCAGATGACATGAGAGGTAACACCACAGTTGTAATTAGCATTGACTGACAACTCTGGCCCAAGCTCAAGAGATGTTAAAAAATAAATGAGCATAACATAGCAACTCCTTGCCATCCACGTTTGTGTTTCTACCAGGAATATTAGCAGGATGCTGTGGGGAAATCTGGACTACACCTAATTCTTCAAAGACGGTCGTGCTTTATTTTCAGTGTACCTGGTGCTCCTGAGTGAAAACTAACTGGGTGTGACTCGTTTTACATAAAAATATAGATTCAAATATTTCAAATAGTAATCACTTTTTTGTAACTTTGATCAGATGTATGGATATATGTTTGCTGTACAATTAAATCAAATATAAGTAAGAAAATGAAGTAGTTCTTTCAAGCCCTTTTCCATACACGTGTATGTATTTAGCAAACCTGCATTTTTAAAAAAAACCTCATTTACGAATTTAGAGAGTGAGAGATTTTATAAAATTTGGCAGTTTTAACTAGATAGCACCCCACACAATCAAGTGAGGCATCCAGTTAACAGCACAAACAAGAGCCAAAGAAGCATGTAAACCAAGACTAAGGGGAGCAGCAGGAGCAAGGACGGGTCCCTGCACTGGCAAGGAGCGTCTCAGCCTCCTCCACCTCTACTGAAATACTGGTAAGAAAGCAGGAATCAAACATGTCAGGAGCAAACAAAAATATCTACTGCTTTCCAAACATAGGAAAGTCATTCTGCTACAGGAAACTTTAAAATAATTAGCTGTATATTCAAAGGGAATGGAACATTAAGTTAATCCACGGGGCTGTGAGGTGAGCTCAGCTCGTGCAGGAACTGCTCACCTGATATGTGCACATATCATGAAACAATTTTATTTTCCCAAGAAAATGAAGTTGTTTGTGTTTTCTCAGATGTTTGTACTACAGGTTCAAAATTTCTTCTAGCATGTTTCTTCCTTTTTTAAAATATTCCAAGCAATTTATTTCCCTTTTGCCCTCTCTTTTTTTTTTTTTTAAAGTTACTTATCTCTTCTTCTCCTAATTCTTCCAAAATTTTTCATTCTTCAGTGTTTTCTCTTTTTTACCTTCTGCTTATTCCTCATCTATCCTTTAATTTCTACTGAGAAAAAAATTAGTACCAGGTGTACTGCACCTAAGTACTGCTGGGAATAAACCAAATAAAATGAGATAACCTTCATCTGTATCACATACAGAAATCCCTGTTTTCTAGAGTCTGCTCTACATCCTACCATCCACTACATAAAGATTTAGAAATGAATCCATTCACTGACAAACTCTACCCATGCCCTAATTATTTACTATAATATTAATATTTCATATATTAATTGTGTAAATATTTAAATGTTTGTTTCGTGGTTGTAAAGCCACTAATACTTTTCCCTCTCTTCCTGCTTCCTCTGCCTCTTGTTTGAATCAGCTTTAATCAAATTTAAAGTGAGGAAATACTGCTCTGCTGCATATGGGAGAATATTTATACATACTATTTCCATAATAATTTCATTTAGTTTTTCAGGCAGAAGTAGCTTTTCCTGACTTTCCACTTCAAACCTTAATGCCTATTCACCACAAGATAAGAAAATGTTATTACACCATAACTGGCTCAAGCACCAACATATACTTATCCCAAGAGATACAATCGGAGCATTAACAAAACAGGTTATTACCCTACTTATTAAAAAATTTATGACGTGTCCACTCCTGTACCAAACATAAACCATGCAAGAAAAAAACTGCAACAAAGAGGAGGAAGAATACAAAAATTCAAGTTCTTGGTATCTCGCACATATTTAATAATTGCTCCCTTTTCTATCACTTTATCCACTTACTTTAATTTATTTAAAGTAAATTTCTTTCTTTTACTTTATTTCTTTCTAAATAAGTCTAGAAGGCAAATTACATGGTGAAATGATTCACACAACTAGCAGTTCTGAATTTGATCTTACAGTGAAGACTACTAGCTTGATGTAAAGTCCTAAATACATGAAAATTGAGATGGATGAAACAATTATGCTAACAGATTGCACGAAGTTTGATGATCTGCAATACTTTCTGCAAGGACAGGAAACATACTTTTTCCCTCTAAATTATGTTCTTTTCATTTGGCAAGAACATATGCCCACTGCCTCCCCCGAAAATTCTCTTATCTATTACTACAAAACTGTAACCAAAACTATTTTATTTATCAACCACAGGCAATGCTGCTTCCTGGAACACCCTGAAGTCAAGCAGTAACACTGAAAAGACCACAGAAGTTGGCAGTACAGAGTAAATACATGTAAATCTTTTTAAAATGCAATTCTACCAGAAATAACAAGTAGTTTAATTTTATTTAATCATAAATGGCATCCTCATTGTATGAGAGGCAATGTATTCTAGCTGAGTGGTCACTGCACGGAGTTAGGAAGCTTAAGTTCAATTCTTACTGTAAAAAACCCAAGTGCTGGGGCACCCTGGGCAAGTTGTTTGTCTCTCCATTTCCACAACTACGTTTTCCTCATCTTTACTGCTTTGGTCTGAAGAGTTTGCTGTCTTAACTCTTTTCTTAAACCCTTCTCATCTCAATTGAATCACAGACATAACAGAAGGAAGAGGAATCCTAGTATGAACATTAATTACACCTACAGAATCAGCTGGAGCCTGACAACAGCAGGAACTGTGCACACGCACTCAAAAAAAGATTTGTTTTGATACCACACAGTCAGTTTACATTTCACATTTGGAGACCACAATCTCTCTGTATTTTTTAAGACAGGAACACTGCTAAAACTGAAACATTTTAAGAGAAAACAAAAAATACATAAACAAGTAAGAGGAAAAAGACGAGGGGATTCACAGTAAGGCCATGAGCTAAGCTAAGACCTGGAACTGTGCTTCAACTGAAGATTTTCTTTACATTCCCTTTAACTGATCCCTGTTATCCCAATTCCATGTTGGCTTTTTTTTTAAATAGCTAAGCTTCTACTAGTTACTATTTTCCATTCCCTGCAAATTGCCATTATCAATTAGCATTTCTCCTTCCACTTTTAAGCTAGGCATTAAATAAAGCTCAACCATAAGTACCTGAGCGCAGCTGTACACAATTTTTAGATGAGTAGCCCATTTAACTATGTGGGAGGACAAACCTCCCACAGCTGGCCAAGCAACACTGTCTTTGCCTTCTGAAGCTTTGTGTTTGTTTTTCCTCTTCCAAAACACACAGATGTGTAAAAACATCAAGTAATTGCTCATACATTCATCAAATACCAATTAAAGGAGATAAGGTTATTTAAGTAAAGCTTAATTTTCTGCTTTTGTGGATAGCAAACATCGGCACCTCTAAACCACCAAAGTAACAGATGACTTCAGCCACGTGACAGATGCACATCACTTTCTCCTCTCCTCTCCTCTCCTCTCCTCTCCTCTCCTCTCCTCTC